GACGGACCGGTTAATTGCATCCGGAATTGGTGGAATTGGAATCGTGAACCAGCCCCCGAACAGCCCCGACTTCAATGTGCTCGACTTAGGATTCTTTAACTCTATTCAAAGCCTGCAGTATCAAAAGTGTACTCGTTCAATCGAGGAGCTTATTGATGCTGTAAAAACATCGTTTGTTGAGTTGCCCACTGAAACACTGGCAAAGACCTTCGTCACCCTTCAAAAGGTGATGGAGAAGTCCATTGAGATCAATGGTAGCAATGAATACAAACTGCCCCACATGAAGAAGGATGCCTCGATTGCAAACCTCTCGTCCTTCCATGTCGAGTGTGATGCAACAAGCTACGAGAGTGCGCTGATGCACTTCAACAATCGCCTGGCTGAAGAAGTGCACTTTGAAGCGATGGTGAATTCCCAGGAACAAGTAATTTAATAAAATACTCCTGATTGCATTATAATTTTCGCCTTCGATATTTAAATTTGGAGTTCAATACAATAATCAAGACGTGCAAATGACAAGTTCAATACTTTAATGAAGTTGTTTGGAGGCGACAACTATTATGCGCCAGAGTAGTAACTTGTGCTCTACAAGGCAACACAAATAGTTCGTACTTTGTGTTCGCCCCCCATCGCTAGAAGAGTACCTTAGTGTAACCAACGAAAATGAACTTGTCATTTGAATTCATTACGTTTAACTTTGTTTGCTGTGTTGACTAGTAATACGCCAACATTCGAACAATGTTTTCCATTTGAAACTTTGAGCTCGAAGCAGTAGTGAATCGATTGGTCCAACATCAGACGCTCCATTCGGTATTCATGCTCGCCGTCATGCCGCTTTTTCTCAAACTCAAATAGTTCATTTAAATTTGACTCACCGACTTCATCCTTCACACTGCCTATCGAGGTTCTTGAGCGTTTCGCAACCCTGGTCTCGGCATCCCGACATAGCTTTTCTCCAGTACTTTAGAGTAGCTCCCACTTCGCGTGTTTTTTGGCATTCTTTTCATCTTGGACAACGTTACCCCCTCGATTCGCATAGCAATGTCTTGCAGAAGTTGAACTTTCTCGGTCACATCCTCGTCACGCTCGACCGTCTTTGCGCATCATCACTCGCCTTGAAGTTCATCATCATCATGTTGAAGTGCTCACTTGAGACGACTGCTGTGGGCTTCACGGACCACCCATGTCAATAATTTTTGGGTTTCAAACATCCAATCGGATGTTGTCTTGACTACTTGGTCCACACCATGTAACACTCAGTTTGGACTGCGAAATCGACCACACATCCGTATCAAGCACAAAATCTCCCACGTCGAACTGGGAGCCTTTTTTCTTCGATCCTCTTTCACGAGGTTTCTGACGCTTGCTTGTTGAACCGTCCAACACCTTCACTTGCATCTTGTCCAAGGTGGTTGTCATTACTGCCATGTCTTCATGTCGCCACGACAGTAAGTCGTCCAACGTCGTAGCTTAGTTGTTGACGGGAATTGGAATGAGATCCAAGGGCGACAACGCTCGGCTACCCGTCGTGTGGCAGTAATACATCACCCAATGTGTCGAACGGACTATGGTTCAGTACCAACATCACCACTGGGACAACCGTGCACTCCGACAGGAGTGCACGGAACGTCTTGAGGGTCGTATTCATTTCATATTACACTCTTCGGTTCGTCCATGGTCATCCAACCGTGGTAAAATGATGATGTACCCCAACACAAGCTTGAGCTCGGCAATCACCTCGTTTTTGAAGTGGGATCCTTGGTCACTCACCCAGTGATAACAGACGCCAAGAACGCTGAACCATTGCAGCAAACGACGAGCCACATCTTGCGCGTTCACCACGTCAGATTCCCACAGCCACTTAAACTGGCTGAATTCATCCTTGGCCACAAGGATGTAGCCACAATCCATGTAAAGAAAATTCCAATGGAGGATTTTATTGGGCTTCGTGGCATGCGCCGTTGCACCAAACGGACGCAAAACATTCCCACCATGGCATAATGCAAACAATGGACCACAAAGTACGACACGTCCAAGGCAATGTCGGACTACCAAAATCGATGCACCAGGATCTGTTTCGTCACGTTGACCCCACGGGGGCGTCTCACAGCAAAATGCGCGACCACACAAACCGCATATGTAGGTCACTCGCAGACAACGGGATCCATACCGCTGCTGTGGCGGTCTTGAGCACCGACATGTAGTTGTGACCACTTCCGCCTGGTATTACATGAGTTCGGCGTCAGGAAAAACCCGTTCCCAACGGCCTGGACTTGAACATCCACGATCTCGGCCATGGTTGGCCAAATCGAAATCTGCAACGGCACGTACACGATGGGGCTGATAAGATTGGAATTGGTTCCCCATCGGGACAAGAAATCCGCCCACACGTTGACATCACCAGAGATGTAATAAATGGTGTAATCGTACCAGCGATCGAGTTTCGCTGCCATGTACTTAGGGCTGGCGACGTTCACACTGGACGGGTTGAAAATGAACTTGAGGTGTGCATGGTCGGTGAACAACGCAAATTCACCGAGCTTGTGGAGCAGGTAGTCTGCACGCTTCAGACACTCCGTTATCGAGACCGCCTCCATCTCGACGATTGGCCATCGTTGCGCCGAGCCAGAAAATGTGCCGCTCAGAAACATCAGCGGCTTGTGATCTTGCGCATCCAATAATGATCCACCTGATCGTGAGGAATTTAAGTCACCTCGCAGCCCCAATGCAAATGGCTGGCGTCGGCGAACACACAAATAAGCCGCTGCGGCTTTGAATGGGCCAGTGTCACCATGCACACAGGCATCCATGCAACTTGTGAGGCACGCTACATGCTCAGCGTTCATATCACGTCGGTCAACTCAAGTTTGGGGCCACCTTCAGTCGAGTTCGTCTACCGGCAGCCTTGTACACCGACTGCAGCAGATAGGTAATCTGCTGTACAATGACGTTGTACTTCGGAGTCGGCATTCGCATCCAATGCATGGCGCATATGAATTGTTGCAGATCTTGCCCGGGCACAAGTATCTTCAGATCTTGCAACGCCTTGATGCGTTTGGGGACATGCTTGACTACTTAGGAGGACAAAATTCGACCACACCACCGCGCTTCGGTTTCAAAGAACTGACGCTTCTTAGGGTTCACCTTGAGTCTGCGCGAACTCAGAGATACAGAGAAGACCAGGAAACGTTCGAGCGCGCCCCCCTTGGACTTGCCGTAGCCCAACAAATCGTTGAACCAGGTCAACAACGAGCGGTAGAGCTCGTCTTGGAAAATTTCTTGCATCGACGATTGGAAGTACGCCACGCTGTCGGTACCACCCATGAGCACGCGTGTCGGCGTGTACACGCCGGTGTTGGTCAGGAACAAAAACATTTCTTGCGACGCTAAGTCCAGCGCAAACTGCCAATAACCCTAGAAAAAGTTCAGGGTAAAGAACACGCTAGTACCTTCGAGGTGACCCAAAATCACCTCCACCATGGGCGTCGGCCAAATGATGCGATCCGTCTGTGCGTTCACTAGACGGACGTCTATGGTCATGCGAAAATCGTTTGCATCGGGCCTTTTGACGAGTGATAGTGCCTAGCACCATTTTGACCGGGGATTGCGGTAGCATAAACCCGCCGCCTGTAGCTCTCCAACATGCTTGACCATGAAGTCCCTCTGCTCCTTCAACGCCTTGCATCACACCGGTTCCGCGCCAGCCTTGAGCGTCACACGTAGCGCCGCTACAAGTAGCGCTAATTACCTTGGTCTTCTTGTCGGTCTTCTTGTCCGACGCGACCACAGCAGCAACATGCGGTTTCTTGTGCCTTTTACAAGCGTTCAAATTATGAGCGAAAAGTTGGATCTGCATGTACGCGCCACTGAAGACGATTTGGTGTTATTTATGACAACCAACTCCATCCCACTGCCTCATGTCATTCCCCCATCCAAGTTGAGTGCATTTGTCCACTTTCTGTTCGCGAGGGGATATGAATTTGTTTGAATTCGTTTGCGTCCGAGTTGCTTAGAAATCAAAGTGATGATCCGAAGTTGGATTTGTACCGTATCGTCCTCGCGGAAGGCATCGGCATGTTTCATGTCACAACCGTGTCAGGTCACACCGCCCATGTGCAGGTATTGACGTGCGTTGACTCCGTTTTCGAGTTGACATATGCTGAAGGAAGATAGGGGTCGGTGAACTCCCTAGCGTTGATTTTGTTTGGACTTTGACATGATTAAAAATGAAGCCATATCCGGATGCGAAATGATTCGTTAATGGTGTTTGCGGAGGTTTTGGTAGTCCTCCAATGGTGCAACGATGATGTTGTGAATGTTGAAGTACCGGAGTTGATATGCTTGGTGTTGAGTATATTGTCTTCCTGGGGCCTACTTGTGTTGGAAAGGGGCAACTTGATTCCAAACTTGATGTATTAGGAAGTGATCTTAGCTGTGTCTCTACGATCTTCTCGTGCAATCTTTCCGGTTATGCACATGTAGTTACCCGTCACTTTGGATATTCCCGCCTAGGGCGAAAGGGGGCGGGGTAACGGGTGTGTGACGCGGAGCTTGTCACCAGGTACGTGCTTTGTGAACACATTTGCTGGCAAGATGTTGGTTGGCATGTAGGTGAGCTTGAACCGGCCGCCGCGAACGAGGCCTTGCAGGAAGTTGAAGCGCTGCGCCAAGTGCTTGGTCCGCTGTATGCTGGCTTGGTTCGTGCTGATCGCGATGGCCGATTGGTTGTCCAGATAAAGTGTCAAGGCGCCGTCGCTGCTGATCTCGAGTTCTGATAGCAGGTTCTATAGAGTGTAGGTGCATGCCGTGCTGCGACGACAAACAGGCGCCGACAAATTCGGCCCCGTGGTCGACATGGTCACGATGGCTTGAAGCTTGGACCGCCACGAGATGGGGCTGCAAGCAAATATCCACAGATAGCCACAAGTGGAGCAGCCAATGGCGCGGTCGTCGGCCCACTAAGAGTCTGATAAGCCGATGAGTTCGCCGTTCCACTTTGGCTTGCCGTCGAACGAGATGCCGACGTCCTTGGTATGCAAAGGTACGTGACTACTAGTCTCGCCAAGTGCATGTGCAGTTGATGCGGCACTGATAGGAGGAGAGAAAGTTGGGTAACGGCAAGGACGATGTCCGGGAGAGTTACCATGGCACAGTACATGAGGGAACCGACGATGGTGCGGAATGGCTTGTCGTCTAGTGGCAGTCCGGCGTCAGCGGCAAGGTTGTCCGCGGGGATCGGCGTGTCCACCCGCTTGGAGTTGCATGCGCTCAATGTGCGTTCCTTGTGCTGCTTTTAGTGTCATTTATTGTTAGTTTCGATACTGACCCCTTGTCGTTGAGGCGGATGTCACGTTGGAGGTCGCTGAAGATGCCGTCGATCTCGTTGTGAATGCGCGCGCAGACGAGGGCGTCGTCGACGTAGGTCGTGATGATCTGCAGATGTCCGTCGACACGGAGGATGAAGACGCAGCCGTCGCTCAGTGTCGCCTGGAACCACAAGACTTCGAGTACGTTCTTGAAATGCAGGTACCATAGTAACGCACTTTGTTTCATTCCGTATAGGGTGCCGAAAGGATGAGTCATGATTCGCCATGGTCGCCTTCGAAGCCGTCCGGCGGGACAATGCAGATCTCGCGGTCGGCGCGCGTGTATATATACGCGTTTGTGGCGTCGCGTTGACAACATTTGAGGCCGCCCCAGGTGGTGACCAGGTGCAGCGAGTCTTCTTTCATGACAGGTGCGTAGCTCTCACCATATTCGAGTCCCTGATATTATGCGTAGCCGTTGATGACGATGCGCGCCTTGAAGGACTTGGTACCGTCGGGCAAGTCTTTGCGCTTCAACACCGACTTCAGTGTATGTTGTCCATTTGTTGTCTTCACGACCTCGTAACAACCCATGGATCATAGGTTATTCAGTTACTTTTCGCAGGCCTGGAGCCAGCTGTCGACCTCCGGTGACTGCATGGCCTCTCAGGACGTGATTCGTCAACGTCTGCGTTCGCGACATGCAAGCAAACTTCGTAGGTCATGTTTTGCACCATTGTCCCGCATTCCATCGTATCTCTGGGGTGGTCACGCCGCGTTCGCCGTCTTCCGTGCGCGTTGTATTGGCCGGAGCCTCCATGAATGGCATGTCGGCGTTGTAGGGGCTCGCGGAGGACCGCACGGGGTGGAGCGGTGGTCGCTCGTCGAGCTGGGTTTCCGTCGTTCGCGCCGCCACGGCCTTCCGCCGTTGCGCGACTTCTTCGAGGCGGGCGCTTCCGCGGGCGTTTGAGACACTTTCGTTGGTAGATTCACGCATCATTGGCGTGTGGGACTTCGGGGTCCTGACAATCGACGCGTTGCTACGGGGGCTCGGTGGTGATCGCATGCGGTTGACGGATCGCGGTGTGGGCCTTGGAGTTCGTGGTGTTCGCTGGGCGGTGTGGCCGTCTTGTATGGGCGTGTTTGGTGTGCTCTCGTGTCCGCAGCAGGTCCGTCTCGCGCTTGATCATTGTCGTATTTGGTGGTGGGCAGTGCGCGTAGGTGGTTGACCGAACACGCGGCAAAGGACTCGCGGGCGGTTGCGGCTCGTGGCGAGGGGATGCTTTCGGCGACAGTTCGCGATCGACTTCTTCGAACGGTTCGCCAGTCGTGGTCGTGGTGCCATGATTGTTCGCTAGCTCATCTTGCTTGGGCTGCGTCTGCTTCCGCCGTATCGGACAAGACGTCAGCACGCGCCAACAAATGTCTCTGCCTGCACTACAACAAAACTAAGAAGTACGCCTTATTAGTTTCGTTGTAGTCCAGGCAGAGACATTTGTTGGCGCGTGCTGACGTCTTGTCCGATACGGCGGAAAGAGACGAAGCCTAAGACTTTCAACTTGGCTAGCGTCGATACGTTTCCAAGGACCAGTTCATGCGGTGTTTGACCCTTGGTCTTCGTGTTAGGCGTGCGGTTCCGAAGGAAGGCGGCGGTGTTTATCGCTTCGGCCCACCAGCGTTTGGAGGGGCCCGAGTGGATCATCATCGTGCGGGCGGTGAGGTTCATGCTTCCGCAGTGCCGTTCTGCCATGGGTGCTGGGCGGTGCTTGGACCCGGAGTTCATGAAGGTGGTTTCCATTTCGTTGTTGATGACTTGACCTGCACAAGTCAGTGTGGAGACAGGTTCCCAGCTTGTGGAGGGGTCGATCACCTTCTCTGGACCGTTGTTGAGTTTCATCCTTCCTCTCACCGAGTCCTCGCATGTGATTGCTTTAGGGGCTTGCTTTGGTCCGCCTCTCGTGGCTTTTCCGCCATCGAGTCTGCGGGGATGTGCCCCATCCTCGCGTGTCACCACATGGCATCGAGCGTCTCGGCGGTGTTGACTTCGTCGTCGTCGCCGGGCAGGATGAGTTCACCGCGCATCGAGTAGAGGTACACATCGTTCCATTTTGCCACGATGGATAACTGACCCTTCACGTTGTTTGAAGTTTAGCGCCGCGTCGTTGGAGTGCCGCGTGATGCGGCTGATCTTGCGAAGAGTCGGGGACGCAGAGGACATTTCGGAAGGTAACCCTCCCACTTTGTGTCCTTTGAAATCATTCTCTATTCTCCCATCTTGTCGATAGGAATGGCGTGGTCGTTAGCGAGCCGCACTCCGTGCTTGCATGGTATGATGCAGTGGAAAAGGGCTAGGTCCCCGGTCATGTGCGCTGTGATGCCGCTGTCCATGATTACTCCTTGGTGTGCAGGCAGGTACGTGGATGTTGTTGTACTGATCGAGATCGGTTCTTTCCGCATACTGCGCCAGCTCGTTGCTCACCAATTCCCATTCGTTTTTATCGTCCGTGCCAGGCTCGTCCAGGGCACGGTATACAACCGCATGCTCAATCAACTCGACTGTAAACACGTCTTCGTTGTAGTCTTTCTCATCTTCATTTGCATAGTTGTCTTGTTCGTACCAGTTTGGTCGGCCGCCACGCCGACCGTGTACTGTGTGCCGACCGTGTCTGCCGCGTCCTCCACGTTCACCGTTTCCGGGGCCGCGACATCGGTCGCCTCTGCCCAGCTTGGTTGCCGGCGATTGCTTGGCCACGTGTTGACCGGCGGAAGGTTCCCCGCGACTCGTCACCTTGTTTGTCGCGGCATTTCGCAACTCCAACTTTGGCGTTGGCGTTCCCGCAACCTCTAAATACTGATTCGTGAACGCCAAGCCCTGAGAAACTTAGTTGTTCTTCGCGTAGAATTGTTCGATTGTACGGGTGACTCTTCCGTTGGCGTTCAGAGTATAAAGCCATGTCCCAAGCAGACAAGCGACGCAACTGGTCCTATGACGAAGACATCATGTTGCTGATTCAAGTCGCCAACGACAAACCATTCACTGCCGAGAAAGGCCAGGTGATAAAGGTCTGGCAGACTCTGGCCAAAACGCTAATGGAGAGTGAGCAGTTCACCCGCGTGGTAGATGCACGCAAACTGTTGAATCGCTTCACGATTCTCGTGGATGAGCATCGACGGTTTGATGTTGCTTCGGCCAAGCTTTTTGGTTCCGATCAAGAAGAGCAGGACAAGCACATGCTGTTTGATGACGAAGTGTGCCTCCTCGATGACATCAAGACTACTGCTACAACTGATAAGTCCAAAGCCATTGCCGACAAGTCCAATGCCGCGGCAGACAAGGACAAAATTGAACAAGACGGATTGCTTATTCGTGAATTGGCCATGCAAACCATGAAGCGCAGTACGGACAAGCCCCCCGACGGCGAAAGCTCAAAGAAGAAACCTGCTGTTGAGAGCCGCCGCACAAGTTTGGCGTCAGCGATGGAAATCGAAAGCGAACGTGAGCGGGCGACGCGTGAAAAGGAGTTAGAATTTCAGCGGTTCAAATTTGAATCCGACTTAAAACAGCATGAAATGGACCGTGACGAACGCCGAGCCGAACGCGAGCACCAATTGGCTATAGCACGCATCGAGAGAGAAAAGATGTCATACCTGCTGAAAGCGGTACTTGAAGGTCGCAAGCAATTGAATTTGTTATATTCAATTGATCTATATTACATGGATCTCATCTTGTGTTAAGTACTCCTTCAACGTTGGTGGGCGCAAGCCGAAGTATGTTGAAATTTGATTTCCACCTTTGTAGCAACAATTGCAGTTTGTCAAAAACATTGCCACAAGGATCACACTGCCGACGTTCGAGAGCATTATTTTGTGGTGCATCTTGAAAGTAATAAATCCCCAGAGAGATTTTAGCCGACCAAAATTCCATTCAACACCTTGGCGGACTCGACTCATTGCAGCGTTGAAAAGTTGTTTTGGCTCGTCCAAATTTGCCCCCTTGTACCCCGAAATTATCCACTTCGAGATTGGATATGCTGGATCGCCGTAGATGAAATAACCACCGAAAATGTATTCGTGGGATGCGAAAAACTCTTGCATTTGCTGACGCGCAGCAGTGTCACATCATGGCGGCTGCCCTCCAAGGGACCAAAGAAATGAATGCACAGTCCGTCCGGCGTTGTCAGGCCTTGAAAATTCAAGCAATGGCGTCGCTTGTGACCGGAATAAATTCGCTTTTGCAAGTTGAGGCCCTCTGCACCGCGCGACGCTGCGTTGATTCGACATGTTTCAATTTTGGTGCCGTCGGGAAAAGCCCACACTTTGGTCAGCGGGGCTCCTTTATTGTGAATGGCTTCGCAGTACTAAGCAATACGCGTCCGCACGACTTTTGTGTTGCAGTAGATGGTGGATTGCCATGAGTCGTAGACAAATTGCACCATGTAGTTGAAAATGCGACAGATTTGTTCCCGGGATCTCCCAAATGACGCCACCATATTGTAGTACGTGATCGGATAACGCAGGCGTCGAAGCAAAATTGCCAAGGCTTCAACACCAACAACACGGTCACGAGCACTTGTGATCACAACATTTGGGATCCCGAGCAAGTCCGTCAGCTCAACAACTCCACGAACATCAAATCGATAGGAGAGCAGCTCATCTGCATCCCGCATGTTCAGGTCAAATCGGATGTCCGGAATGAGAGGCCGCTCGACAGGGATTCCAAGTCCATACTCCAAGAGGAGGACCCGTGTGGCATAGCTGAAGTTTTTACGCTTCGCCCACTTGAACACACGCAGAGCAAGTTGGTCGTTGGGGTCCATTTTGCTTGCACCAAAACAGATGACTTGTGCGCCAAAGAGAAGTTGCGAAACAACAAAACTAATTTTAGCGCTCCGTTTCGCGTTCCAGGTGGAACTCGAGCGCGAACGCCAAAGTCACGACTTAGCGAAATCTAAAATCTCTCTAATAGAGAGATTTCGCAACCGTGACTTTGGCGTTCACGCTATTCAGCTTCAAAGTGACCAGTCTTGCCGCAGTAGTGGTAGTCGCGGGTTGTCATCAAGGCGACGTTGGTTGAAATTGCTTTGCGAGCCATGTTTGGATCGTGCACCTTCTGTCTCTCGTCGTCTAACTTGAGTTCGGCTAGGATCTAGGGCAGTGTTTGGTACGCGTTGTTGTTGCGTCTCTCTCGGGTAATACAGATCTCGCTGTTAGCAATGTGTGGTGGGAGGAGGCTCAGGAACCGGTTTATGTGTGCGCTCTCGGGCGTTGAGTCCCCAGCTGGTGTGAGTTTTCTCGTGAACTCTTTGAACTGATCGGTGAACGTTTCTAGTCCCGATCATTCGCTCCGCACTAGCTTGCTCCTTTGGAGCTGGAGTGTCACCAAATTCACCCCTGATGCGCTTTCGTAGATTGCTCAAACGGCTTCCCACGTGTCGGTTGTCGGGTGTCATGGTGGCCGCTTGGACGTATTTCAAGTGGTCAGGGTGAATGGTGAGCAGCATGTAGGAACCCGCGGCGAGGTCGTCCTCCTATGTGTGGTCTACTATGAATCTCCCGTTGATGGTGCATCTCTCGAGGTACTTGCCGAGGTGCTCCTGGTTGATCTTGGCCCATTTCTTCAAGCTCCACTCGCGGTAGTTAGCCCCGTCGACCTTAAGTTTCGCAGTTGAATCGATGTACTTCTCGGTCATTGGCTCATAACTTCATGGGGCCTAATTGTGTTGCAAAGGGGGTACTTGATTCCAAAACTTGATGTATTACGAAGTGATATTAGCAATGTCTCTACGATCTTCTCGTGCGATCTTTCCGGTTATGCAAAAGTAGTTATCGGTCACTTTGGATATTCCCGCATAGGGCGAAAGGGGGCGGGGTAATGGGCGTGTGACCTATGGGTAGAAATTGCAATAGAGTAGAGACACATGCGACGAGCTTGATGCCCAACTTTGCAGCTGAGTGTGTTTGGTGCGAACGCCATGTTTCGAAACGTAAATCGAATTTGGAATACTATAAATTTTGCCGTGCCTTTTTTGTAGTAATTTAATTCGAAGACGATAAGCCACCGTGAATGCCTCAAACAGCAACACAACTGTAGCAATGAGCACTACCTACATGGTGTACATCCTCGACTGCCCACGTGAACACCCCCTCCAATTCCACATTATCTCATTGTTACCCCCAGGCCAATTGTTGTTCCTATTGTGTTCAGATAGGCTATCGAGGGTGTAATCTATAGATAGTGTACATCGCTGTAATCGAAGCGACATATACTACTATGAGGCAATCATAATATTGCTGAGTGGTGAATGTACAGTAGCCTTCACTTCCTATTGGGCAGACTTTGACTAAGGAGGTCATCATACAACTCGCCAATTCGTCCGGGGCCTTAGTGGCGCAAGCATAGGTCCAACGTGCAGCACTAGGGCCACCAACAAATGGAGCGTGAATACGTTCAGGGGTACAAGCTCTGGAAGTGATCCGCTGTCATGGGTGCTATCGTCAGCTCCATCGACAACATTACATACATACCTACGAAATCATCAATGTCAGCGTTGTTATGGATCAATGGGTGGCTCAACATGAACGAGATCCACTGGGCTACCGCTGAGACACTCTCGATGGTTGCATGCGCTATGGTCCGATGGGCTCAACATGTACAGTACAATGTACTACCCGTAGATGGTAAGCCCATCGGACCACGGTGCGCGCATCGTAGTGGATGTCGTTGCGGTCGCCCTGTGGATCTCGTACAAAGTAAGAGGACTGCAAACAAATTATGGCCCGAGTGTTGATGCGGATGGCTCTCACGAAGGCTTCATTGCAGTGCTTTTCTTGTCACGCGTCCGCAACTCGCGTCATGCAGTCATCGTAGTGGAGTCACCGATGGCGAGTGGACCCGCGTGTTCGAATTGGGGGCGGCTCGCCAGGCCCAGAAAAGCACCCCCCATGGACGTGTCCTCCAAGAAACAACCCCGTACCCGACCGTGGCCACGTATGAAAAGCTCGTACGTGGGGTGATCGCCAAGATTCAAACCGCCGACTTGAAGCGTTCCCTAGAGAGCTTTGTGAACAAGTTTGCGAACCGCATTTTCAACACGGCCGAAGGCGCGCAGTCGTGCGGGTGGATCTACGATCAAGTTGTCGAGGTGATTGCCAAGGCGGCGACCAACCCCAACGTTAAAGTCACCGTGCGACAGTTCACCCACAAGTGGAAACAGTACTCTGTGATTGCCCGCGTCGAGCCTACTACTATTGTCAAAGACGACATTGTCATTTTGAG